CCACAATTAACATGTCATCAACATAAAGCAAAAGAATAATAAATTTACCATCTGAAAATTTTTTCACAAACACACAATGGTCCGAAGTGGTTTTAGAAAAACCATTATTCATCATGAAAGAGTCAAATTTTTTGTACCATTGCCGCGGGACTTGCTTGAGGCCATACAAACTTGTCTTCAATTTGCAAACAAATTTTTCTTTCCCTTTCTCCACAAAACCTTCTGGTTGCTCTATGTAAATTTCATCTTCAAAATCACCGTGAAGAAATGCGGTCTTCACATCAAGTTGTTCAACTTCAAGGTTCATACTTACAGCTATGCCAAGTACAACCCGAATAGAAGACATTTTCACAACCGGTGAGAAAATCTCATCAAAGTCAATACATTTCTTGCCCAAAGCCTTTCACAACAAAACGTGCTTTGCACCTCAGATTCTTGCCATCATTCTTCAATTTGAAGACCCACTTATTTTTCAAAATTTTCCTCCCCTTAGGCAACTTCACTAAATCATAGGACTGATTTTCAAGTAAGGAATTCATCTCCTCTTCCATGGCCGTTTTCCAATCACCTTTCTTTGCATGCTTAATTGCTTCTTGGTAGCTCTCGGGCTACCCTTGATCAGAAATCAACACAAACTCATTGGGAGGATACTTTCTTGAAGGTTGTCGGTCCCTTGTAGATTTTCTCAACTCAAGTTGTGGTGGCGGTTCTTGAGTTGGATGCTCTTCCTCAATTTCGGGCTTAACTTCATTTTGAATAGCATCATCCTCTACATCTTCAATAGGTGGCTGCACATCTCCTCCATTTTCATCATACACGGAAAATGAAGGAGATAGATCCATGTCAATGAGATCACTTGTTTTTTGCTCCGGTTGATCACCTTTGCCAAAGTCTTTAATTGTTTGGTCTTCAAGAAACACAACATCACGGCTTCGAATGATTTTCTTGTCGACCGAATCCCACAATCTATACCCGAATTCATCATGCCCATAGCCAAGAAAAATACATTATCTTGACTTGCTATCAAGCTTGGACCTCTCATCTTTTGGAATGTGAACAAAAGCTCGGCAACCAAACACTCTCAAGTGCTCATAAGATACATCTTTACCGGTCCAAACTCTTTCTGGAACATCACCATTCAAAGGATAGGAAGGAGACAAATTGATTACGTCAACCGCTGTCTTCATTGCCTCACCTTAAAAGGATCTTGGCGATTTAGCTTGTGAAAGTAAACACCTTGTTCTTTCCACAATGGTGCGGTTCATCCTCTCCGTAACTACATTTTGTTGAGGAGTCTTCTTAACTGTCTTTTGATGCCAAATACCTTGGCTGTGACAATACTCATCAAATGACCCAATGTATTCACCACCATTGTTTGATCGGATGCACTACAATTTCTGCCCTGTTTCTCTTTCAACCATAGCCTGAAAATGCTTAAATACTTCTAGAACTTGATCTTTAGTTTTTAGTAGAAAAGCCCAAACTTTCCTTGAATAATCATCAATGAAAGTAACAAAATAAAGTGCACCACTATGTGTTCTAACTTTTAAAGGATCACAAACATCCAAATGAATCAACTCCAAAACATTTTCTTTTCTAGAGGCAACATTTTTATGAAAAAAAACTCTATGTTGTTTACCTACCAAACAATGAACACAAGTTTTAAGATGTGTACCTTTCAAACCGAATAAAAGCTCTTTCTTGAACAATACTTGCAGCCCCTTTTCACTCATGTGGCCAAGCCGCTTGTGCCACAATTCGGTAGGAGTATCATCTTCAAGTGCATTGACAGCACCTTTACAAATTTTTCCTTGTATCAAATAAAGTGTATGAGTCTTCTTGCACTTAGCCACTACCAAAGAACCCTTTGTGAGCTTCCATATTCCATCACCAAATTTGTTGTTGAAGCCTTCATCATCTAGCTTCCTAGTAGAGATCAAATTGAGGCGAATGTCGGGAACATGCCTCACATCTTTAAGCAATAACGTGCAACCCAAATTTGTTTCCAAGCAAACATCACCCATGCCAATAATCTTGGACAGACCTTTATTACCCACTCGAACAGAACTACAATCTCCTTTGGTATAGGTAGTGAAGAAATCAACTCGAGAAGTCACATGAAAAGAAGCACCGAAATCAATCACTCAATTGCTCTCTTGGCCCACAAAATTGGTACAATCATCTTCACAAACAACCATGAGATCATCGGTAGTAACTGCCGTTATGTCTTCTTACTTCTTATCCACACTTTTGTTACGTTTTTTCTCCTTATTCTTGAGCTTTCGGCATTCTTGCTTCATGTGCCCTTTCTCATGGCAATAATAGCACTCAATGTCTTTCTTTGAAAAAGAACCATATTTTGATTTGCCACAGCTTTGATCACGACCATGAGGAGTCTTAATCATTTCCCTTATTTTGCTTCGGTCTCTCACAATGAATGCTTCCGAATGAGAGGAACCCACTGATTTTCTTCTAGTTTCTTCATTCAACAGGCTACTAGCGACTTGGCCCATTGTGACAACTCCATCAGGTGCCGAATTACTAACTGTCACAACCAAAGTCTCCCAACTTTCGGGCAAAGAACTAAGTAGCATCAAAGCCTGCAACTCATCATCAAAAATAATTTTCATAGAAGCAAGTTGGTTAACAATACTCTTTATTTCATTCAAATGTTCTAGAATGGGGCTGCCATCTTTATATTTTAAATTAACCAACTTACGAAATAGAAAGACTTTATTTATGGCTGATTTTCTATCATAAAGACTCTCTAATTTTTTCCATAAATCATGTGCCGAAATTTCAGTAACAACATGATGAAACACACTATCATCAATCCATTGACGGATAACACCAACGATTTTCGATTAAGTCTCTTCCATTCATCATCTTTCATACCCTCGGGTTTGCCACTATCACCCTCAATAGGCCCATACAAATCTTTACAAAATAATAGGTCGTCCATTTTAGTTTTTCAAGTTACCCAATCGCTTCCATTGAAGCTAGATATACGATCCACATTCTCCTCCATTGATTTACACAAATAAATAGACTCAAATAAACCGTAAGCTCTAATACCAGTTGTTAGGGAAAATATGTAATTTCGCACAAGTAAATCAATCAATGGGAATAAAAACTAATACGAAAAAATTAAATCAAAAGTAACACAAGAATTTTTACGTGGTTCTCTCAATGTGAGGTACGTCCACGGAATCGAAATCTGATTCCACTATCAACCAAATAAGTTTTCAAATGATTACAAACAAGACATCAATGGTCTCACAAAACCACCATTGGGTAAATTTCAAATAATCACAAATACATAATAGGAAAGATCTCACCAAATAGATGAACAAAAAATCTTCAAACCAAAATTGTAGAAAATCCAAAATTACGAACCAAATACACTTCAAAGTAGAGCCGACTACCTTGAAGCCCAAAGCACCGAATTGAATTTATATCAAACAACCTGCTATCCACAGCAAAACCCACCGAATTGATCCTCTATTGTTTCTATGGCAGCAACACACTTTTCCTTCCGTTTCTCGAGAACAACAAAGCCATATATATATGGTTGGGTCTTAGTTTTTTTCTCAAGCCCTAACTATTATCAAATTGAATTAGGATTTCACAAATTTGATATAATATATTACAATATATTATACTTAAATTAAACTAAATTAAAATTCTTTAACCAAAATTAATTGGCTCTCAAACTCCAATAAGAAGGTATATCCAACAGTATAAACAATCTCTTGAATAAGCTTTAAACCATAATGTAACTCGTATCTTTACCAGATCACTCAACTCCTCCATCATAGATTGTTTTCCATTGAAAACACAATCATTCCTCATCATCCAAATGGACCAAAAGGCAACCAATAGGATAGCATTCGAGATTTTGTTTTCAAAATTCCTCCACTTGAAACCTCTCCACCAATCCAACAATCCTTCAACATTTTGAGGTGATGCCCATTGCAGACCCCACCAACTCAATAGATTTGTCCAAATTTTCCAAAGAAAAGGGCATGTCAACATAACCAACTCATAGAAATTTATATGTTTAAAAATAGTGAAAATAGGAATCTTCAAAAGTGGTTATTTTTTTCCCCTCAATTGGTAATTTACTCTAAATTTAAAATTGGGTACTCAATTTTTGCATTTGACTCTCATTTTACAATTTTAACCCTCAGATCAAAGTTTTCATTGTCTTTTGGACAGTGGACAATGAAATTTCATTGATTTAGTTTACTAACTTTTGGTCAATAATATTGGAATTTCAATGTCTGAGGATAGAAAACTCGACAAAAAAAAATATATTTTTCTTTGTACATTTCATTTTTATTGTAAATCTTATTTGATAAATTTTGACAAGAGAATTTCAAAAATATAAATTTATAAAAAATAGAAATCAATATAAAAAATTATTTCGAAGTTTTCAAATGATTCCAAACTTAAAAGAGTGGGAGAAAAAAGCCAAATCACCCATATGGGTCAATCTTCAAAATGGCTAAGACCAGATCAATCAAATGCCATTTCCTTTGGTGGACCTCCTTGAATAATGCATAATTTCTCTAGAAAACGAGTATAACTTTTAGACTTGAATAGCAATGTTTATCATAGAATTGAAGTGCAGGTTCCTATTTGTATATGCATGAAAATGTGACACATCATCAAAAAAATAAAATTATTAGTTTTTATACCCGTCTTAGCTTTTGGAGATGAATTGATCATATATGACGTAGATTTTCATTTTTCACTTGTAATGGAGAATATTTGAATCCCTCATGAGAATATGAAGTCCATATGTCCTGGGTTGGTAAGACTATATCAGTACAACTGTGTTATGATATCATCCCCAACACATAAATTCACAATCTAATAATAAATCCCTATATAAACATAGTAGACCTATCCACATAAATCTAATTTCGCATAACATAAATTCCATAAAAAAAAAAAAATTTAACTATCCAAGCCCCCATCAAGCATGCATGGGAACATTTTGAAAATGCACAAGATAGATATTATTGAGCTCTCCCAAATCACAGACAACTACAAGCAGTTAAAAGCACTGTATATATATGTATTACAAGGTGGTCCAGCATGAAGAAGTTTTGAGATCCCAGAGTGCAGGCAGGAGGAACTTGGAATTATTGAAGCCATGTGCATTGAATGCGCCACCGGAATCTGGGTCGACACGGACATTTCCAGGGTATCCGGGCATTGCTCCACTCGCAAATGCGCCCTCGCATGCACTTGCAGCCTGCAAAAAAGTTTTTCCCAATTTCAAGCCGCTGAAGAAGTAACCGGTATTGAAAGGATTGGTGACGGTCTCTGTCAGTGCTGACGCAAACTGTACGAGCATGGCATCCGCACCGATATCTCCGCTCGCTGGTTCTAGTGTTAAAGCTGCCGGACGCACGATAGTAACATCCGACTTGTGATATGGCACTGCGCACAACCCTGGACACTGTTCTTCCGGGTTACCTACTACAATGTATAGTTGCTTTCCTGCAATTTAATAAAAAAAACACAACCCAATATTAAGGTAATGAAATCCGCATAGAGTAAAAATAATAAAATAATGATAGGAATCAAGAAGTGTGACAGAAAAATTGTGCGATCTAGATTAACAAAATACACAAAAGTTTTATATATATAGCATGATATATGGCTCTATTACTACTTTTTCATTTCAAAACAGAGTGTCCATTTAAATTGAAATGTTGCCATCACATCAATTGTATCAATAAGAAAAAGCATGATCAACCTAAGAGGTTGGCCTAGTGGTCAAGGTTTATGACTTGAGGTGTGCTTGCTTCAAGGTCTTAGGTCTTTCAAAAAAAAAAAAACATGATTATTCCAGTACACTTGTTACAATTTTGAGAAATTAACTTTCCAGTTATATTGTGTTGAGAATATAAATAATAAAATTGTTGGTTTTCCTAATAGGTGTAAATTGAATTGACAGACTTGTAAGAAAGAAATAGAGAAATGATATTCACATAGAATAAAAAACAAAAAATATAGAAAAAGTATAATGCATATAAACAATAAAATTGTTGGTTTTTCTAGTAGGTGTAAATTGAATTAACAGACTTGTAAGAAAGAAATAGAGAAATGATACTTGCTTAATTGTAAATTGAATTAAGATACTTGTAAGAGAGAAATAGAGAAATGATACTTGTTTAATTGTAAATTGAATTAAGATACTTGTAAGAAAGAAATAGAGAAATGATACTCACATAGAATTAAAAACTGAAAATATAGAAAAAGTATAATGCATGGCTTATATTTATCTTGAGCATGTGAATCATTCTCAAAATAAACCTAAACCATACTGTGTCACGTAGCACTATCAACATTTGAAAGAAATATTTGATGAAATTGCTGTTCATCTTCCACCAGAGTGTGGTTACCAACTACTCCACGATCGTAGCATGTTGAGGTTTTGCAAGTGTCTAGCACTGAAACATCCTTAGCAGCAAAGATAACAGCAATGGTGTTTGGCAATCCTGCAGTTGCTTTCTTCAGCAAACCGGGGAGCAAATCGCTCACCAAAGCCTTCCCAACAGAGGCATTTTCATCATCTACTTCCCTCACAATCCTCATGTTAACTCTCGCTGATTGACCGCTCTTTTTCCCATCAGCAGCAGCAATGTAGCTCTCCACCTGTCGCCACCAACACGAGACGTGAGGCTGAAAGTACATTTGCACACCTTCGAGGCTTAGGGATTTGACAAAGTTCCGGATCACTCTCTTCTCAATAGGCTGGAATTGGCCGTACCATAACACGGTGAGGCTGACGTTGCCGGAGAGGAGAGGGCCGCCATGGTAGGCGATATCGGTTGCGGTAGCAGTTGCAAATGAGGTGATGCAGAGGGTGGTGATGATGAGGGAGAGAGCTAGAAGGGTTTTTGTGTTTGGTAGAGAAGACTCCATCTCTATTGCATTAAAATTTTGCAATTAATGTTTGGGGGTTGGGATCTTCTCTTTCCAACTCTAGTTTCTCCTCATGGGAATTGATGTTTTCCTATGTAACGTCATTGGTTTTGTTTGAATGATCCACAAATTAAGGGGCACTTCAAGGATTAGAGACCACTACTTTGCTAAATTTGTGGTGTGCCTCATCCTTAGATTTACTTTTAGACATAATGATTTTTGGACAAGCTTTACATGGAAAAACAAATTTTAAAAAACCAAAAAACAAAAAAATGAAAGTCTAAAATGGGTTATACCCCAACTTTTTTTTCTTGAAACACCACATGCCACATCTAATTATTATCCTTTTCCAAAAATTAAAGGGCTAATAAGTATGGATGCAAGATTATAACTTAAAAACTAACGAATACTTTATCTTGGGGAATTCTGTGTTCACCCAAGAAAACTGAATAATTTATGCCCTGTTCCAACCTCTTCCCAAATGGTTCGGCTATAAGCTATGTCATATTTTTAAGTCCGAGAATGGGCTACGCTTGGCCAATTCTAAAATGAAAATTGATATTCTATTAAAAAATTCATAGTGAATATTTTAATGAGAATGATGTGGTAATGATAATCTTAAACTAAAAAGGCTATTTTTATAGATTTTTTGATTTAAAATGTAATAAGATCTAAATGTGGCATATCATTATGTCTATTCTAAAATATATGGACAAAACTTGGTCGAAGAGAAGGGCGCTCACAGTAACCCAAAGCCCGAATTAGTGGAGTAAAATTGATGGGAATGCATCCCAATGTCAACCAGCTTGTCGGAGCAGAACAAAGGTTGTCATGGTATGAATGATCCCAATTAAAGAGTTGACAGATCTAAATTCATTAGTTCAGAGCAAGACATGCAAGGTGACCACTGAGCAGTGAGTGACCAGAGCCATTGAAACAAGTCTTTCAAAGCACTTTTTCTAACCCGTTGAAATTCCTATATATCTCCATCCATCAACTAGCAGGGAAAGTAAAGCGTAGATCTCGAAGCATAGACAAATTGGTTCCATTGAGATATCGAATAGAATATATTCCATTATGGGCAGAGGAGGTAGATAATTGTGTCATGCATACATGCAAGAAAAGAAAAGAAGAGAAGAGAGACTTTCTGAGAAAGATGCAAATTGGCTACATATTTTTGAAAGATAAACTCTATCCGAATCTGATATCTACTTTCTAAGAGGGGTTATACGTAGAGAGTCATGGAGACCAAGGATTTGTGTGTTTGAGTCGACAATCGATATTGGAGGATATGATTCAGAGAGGAAGAGAGGTCTTACATGAAGATGAAGAGTCACGAGTTTGATAGCCAAGGATGATTTGCCTGCTGCCCAGTGCCACCAACCCAAGGGAGAGTCATTTCTCTCTCGTTTTGGGTTCTGAGACACGCAGGGAGTCACCTTGGCTAATCTGACAAACTCTTCTCTCTCATGCTAGCCCTTCTTTTCTTCGTTATCTTGCCTTTTTATCGAATTTAATAACTCTTGCATTGCATCGTCAACATAAAAGTTGAAGTTCGTTTGCATGATGGTGGGTCGGCAATGGAGTGGTGTTGGCTGGGCAGCTAATTTTTACATTATATATTTTCTTGCTGTTCATCTTCCACCTCAAAATTGAGCTTCTTTGCAGTCAAATGGGCTTCTTCTAATGGTTTTACCGTTATTTATATCTCCCCTTGATTGATTAAATGCCTTATTGCAGATTTTGATGAAAAATAAAAATAAGTTGAATTAACACTCCTGTATTAACCTCAAGGGATTTGCCAGTGGGTACAACTTGGAGTATGCTCCAAATTAGATTTAATACTGACTAGCTCCAATAAGCGCCTTGTTCATACAAAACGTTTGCTCTAATTTTAAATAGGACCCTTACAAGTGGACAATGAGGTCGATTTTTCAGGATTAGTCAATATATGCATAAAGTGTGCATAAATTAGTCTGGACATCCGATTATAAATAAACAAATAAATAACGATTAATTGTGTTAGCTAAAAAGCAAAAAAATCATATTGTATAAGTTGTCATATCATTTTCTTTATTTTTTTACACATCTTTTCGTAAAAAGTCTAAAAAAAAAAAAAAAAAAACTCAAATCACCTCTTAGTGAGCAAGGATTGATTGTGTGATTTTGATGAAACTCTGTTTGGTTTTGATTTTTTAAAAATAGTTTTTGATTTTTCAATCCGTATATTTTACTTTTTATTGATTTTTTTAATATTTAATTTTTTTAAAAAAACTTTTTTCATCTACTTAATCTAGATACGCTTAAAAAATATATAATTAAAAAAAAATTCATTGAATACAACAAAATATGAAAATATACAATTTTTTTAATAATTTTTTTGTATTCAATAAATTTTTAAAAGATTTACACATATTTTATATTTTTAATATATCTAAATTAAGTTGATGTAAAAAGTTTTTAAAAAAATATATATGACTAAAATGTTTTAAAAAATGTTTAAAGCTTTCTTATTTTATAAGTTTCATTTATTACTATTAGTGATGAGATTTGTCAGAAACAAACTAATTGATTATAAACTTTATTTAGGTAACATCAGAACTATCTATCCTGATATTTGTGACGCAGGTGAATTATAAAAATGAGACCTCTCTAATATATATTTTTTTAATAAAAAATTTATGCATAAAATGATAAGTATCAACAAATTCTTTTATTTAAGTTTACTTGCACATATAATTATTAAAATTATAAACTAAAATTTACTTTCATATATTAAGATTTGAAGAAATCAGTATAATGACTCAAAACATTAAAAACTGGTTTTGTTGCTTTATAGTTTAGCAATATCCAGTTTACAATTGACCCAACGATCACTTAAATACTACTTTTCTTGCGTTTTTAGCTGCAAAATCACTGATTAAGTTTGTATAATCTAATTTATCTACCAAATCCTTTTCAATCTACAAATCACAATCCACTGATTATCTCATATCTGATAGCAAAGAAATTATAAATAATAATAAAAAAATTAATGAAACAAATTAGGACAAAAAATTAGAAAAAATTATTCAATTAAAACTGATAAAGACTTAGGTAAAAAAATTAGGACAAATTTATTATTCCACTAACTAATAAAGAAAAAATGTAGAAAAAAAATTATTTAATAAAATCTGATAATGAGAGAGAGGGGACTTACTATGAGAGAGTGTGTGTGAGAAAGAGAGAGTGAGTCGCTAGAAGAGTGTGCGAGAGTGAGAGAGTAAGTCGCCGACTCAATTAGTGTTGTCTACTGTGCTACCCTGCTTTATGCTTGTTTGGTATGCTTTTTTTCATCACTTTATGAGAGAGAGAGAGAGAGAGAGAGAGCATTGACTGAGCAAGCAGCTGATGTATTGTATGTATTGTTCTTCTTGGGCCTCAAACACTTTTTTGTATATATTTTCATTTTGATAAATATGGGCCAAACTACACTTATAAATAAATATGGGATAAATCACACTTATAAATAAATACAAGTCCAATAGAATATTTTGAGGCCCTTTAAATTGGCCCTAAAACAAAACAAAAAAAATTAAGCCCATAACACTTTACTAAATTTGAGGGTCTTTTTTTGGGATTTAAGGCACAAACCTCACTAGCTTTAGGCCAGGATCGACCCTGGTGGCATTGCTAGTAAGGCTAACGAGAGTAGGTAGATAAGTTCAGAATGGGCTTGCTACACTGTGCCAAAGGTGGTGATCCAAAGATAGGGGGTATAGTTAGGAGATTATGGTGGATGCTCAAACAAAAAATGGTGACTTTATTTGCATTCTAAAAAATTGGTAGGACACCCCAATTTAATGAATTTTTTTATTATTATTATGTCCCTCCCTATCAAAGTGACCAAAAAGTACTTGATATTGAAAAAAGTACAAATCGTAATGTTTTGAATACTCTCATCTCATAATCAATCTCAATATTCGCTTCTTCGTTTTCTTCTCACTTCCTTTATTTTGCATCTTCACACTCAACCCTATTTTTCTTAAATTCATCGTTCTTACATTCTATTTCATCATATTGAAGTCAACAATGACAATAAAGAGATGTGTCTAGGCTATTTTTTCCTTTTATAGAGAAAATGTAGGTTTTTGGTTCATTTTCATCGTTTTTTATGGATGATAGATTTACGGAATTTGTTCGGATCAGTATCAAACAATTACATTTATTCAAAAACTTGTTTCTAAAAAAAAAAAATCATATACTTTGCATTGTGTTTTCGAATATTTAATTTTTTAACTTGTTCATATTCTAATTCCGAACAAAAAGAACTATACGATATTATATTTCTAAGCAAATTACATATGTTCAGAAACTTATTTCCAATTAAATCTAATTTTGTTCGGTATTGAGTATCTAAAATAATAAAAATATTTGACTATGTGTTTTCATACGTCGAAGTTGATGTTTATTCAAGCGAGACAGGGTGGGCTCTGGTTGAAGAGGTTTTGTACGGGGAGCAAATATTTCAGCGTGCCCGTATTCCTTTCTTCCGAGCTCCATCGATGTCCGATCACCTGCGAGCAAGTAATGGTGAGCTACCCGGCGGTGTGTGGCCGGAAAAACCCTCCGACGGTCAAGTTAGCACACACCTTAGGATGGATAGAGAGAAGGGAGAGAGTGTTTGAGTGTAAGAAATCCTTACAGATGTGTTCGTCTTGCGTATGGGGGGCGCAGACATGCTTTTATACCTTCTGAGCCCCATATCCACTCCCAGTCATCTCCTGACACGTGGCTCTGTTTTGGAACAGGGAACAACACTGGAGACAACAAAGGCAATAATGACATGAAAAAGCGTATTACAATTTGTCGTGGGATAGTCCTTTCATATTTTCGAGTATATTAAATGAAATGTTTTGTGTTTGAAGAACAGGTTTACAGTACATATTACTACACACAAAACAAACACATGACTACAATAGTAGCACATATTAGGTTAAAAATTACAATACATGCATATTCGATGAAATTTAGAGTCCAACAGTTAATTTATAACAACAAAATAGATTGAATGAATAGGTAATTAATTTATAGCAACGGCTGATTTTTACCAGAACAATAGATTGAATGAATAGGTAAGTAATGTATAAGAACACCATATTTGCAA